CCCCCCCCCCCCCCCCCCCCCCCCCCCCCCCCTCCCCCCCCCCCCCCCCCGACCCTCCTGTTTTGATGCCACCTTCCTGTAATGTGACCTGCTGCTCACGTAGCCACATGGTACACCATCAATAACACGGGGTAAATATAGCAGCGAGCTCCACCCTAAATGTGATGGCTGGCTTTGGGCTCCACCCGCTGCTGTTCTGCACTGCCCTCCCCAAAACCAAAATAAATGAGATAACACGCAGTTGTTGAGGCAATTTACCGAAATAGGCCATTCTGAAATAGCACCATAAATTCTGGAAGCACCGCCAAGAAGCCGGCATACCTGCCCCCCCCCATCGCTCCCACCCCGTCGCTCCCACCCCAGCACCATTAGCTGCACGCCGTTTCCGCTGTGCTGTTTATTTTCCCTCTCTGGCTGCGCGCGGCGAGACGATGATGTCATACTGCCAGGCCACTGTGCACATGACAACCTGGAAGCAGCAATGTAGTACAACTAACACCCCCCCCCCCACACACACACGTGCACAGTTCCGATCCGGCTGGCTGCGTCACCTGGACGTGGGCCAAGCCAGGATCCCCGCCATGAGGGGAGGGCCCAGACGCAGAGAGTCCCAGCTGTAAGCAAGCTGGGGAGGGAAGGTAAGACCGCCGTGAGGGCAGGGGCGCGAGGGGGGGCTGGCTGTCTGCCAGAGTACACTTAGCTGCAGGAGCCAAAACGGCAGCCCTCCCAGAAGATTCAGCCTGACAGGCCCTGTGCCACGGCGGAGATAAGCACCCCAACCCTCTGAAACAGCCACACGAGCCCCCCCCCCTCCCCTCCAGGGGAGAGGACGTGTGTCTCAATGCAGCGGATGGAACTGTTACTGCTTCTCCGTTACCAGGGGATGTTGGCACAGACATTACACAAATCTCCCCCCCCCCTCCACAGGAATTATCACGGACCTGCTTAAGCTGCTCCTCGTAGCTCCAGTCGGCCTGTCCGTTGGGCGAGGCGGCCGAAGGAGGCCCCGCAGGCGAGCGGCTCTCCTCCTCAGGCTCCTGCTTCACTCTGACGGGAGGCGATGTGGCACACTGGGGCCCGGGGGTCAAGTAGGGGGGGCAGGGATGAGCGGGGAGGCGCGAGGTCGCCTTCTGCAGCGCCAGGCTCTGCTCGCGCAGATACTCAAGTGCAGCTCCCCCGCTGGCTGCATCCTCCTCGCAGCCTTCCTCGTCCTCCATCGCCTCCTCGTCCTCCTCGTCCTCCCCCTCTGAGTCACGGGCCCCTTCTCCGCTGGAACGTCCCGACCCCCCGCCGCCCTGCCGGCACTCCGCGGCCCTCCCCGGGAAGGGGCCCCCGGGAGCGCAGGCGGAAGCCAGGATGGCCTGCTGCGCCGCCACCTGTTGGACATACATGACATGGGCCTCGCGGAGGCGCTGCTCCTTGCGCTCCATCTCCAGGCGGGCCTGCTGCTGTCTCTGCAGCTGCTCCATCACCGCCTCCAGCTTGAGCCCAGCCACGCCAGTGTTCTGGAAGGCCCCGCCCAGACCGCTCTCCTGGGACAAGCCGGACTGGGTGGAACGAGTCATGCGATACAGTCAGATCAGAACAGCACTCAACATGCATTTCAGGCAACAGCTCATAAAACACATGGATGCTGTTGACATAACGATCAAGAAGAAAAAAAAATCAGACACAATCAACAGGTTTCACAAGAGCAACTCCTGTTTATCAATAATATTATTTTAACAAGGGACCAACGTGTTGAATCTCAACGAGGGTTAATCTCGCTCCCTAAATGCAATGGTTATGTCATGCAGGCAGTTCTCATCTGAAAGCAGAGTGAACAGTTTATAATTACTGGCTTCAGTCGGTTATATGACAGGAAACTTCCCATGGTAATTGTGGGTTAAGCGTCTTCCTCAAATTTAATTGGGCCAGTCTTTTTGGGCAAGGTCCAGGGCTAAAAGGGTTATCTATTAAACTGGGAGCCTTGCAAGTCCCTTTAGATAGAAAATTACACGTTGCCCCCATAAATAATGTAAATAAATGAAATATAAGAGCACCTGCAGACACTGGAGTACCTGAGGCAAATGTAACTCCATATTAGACTCCAAATGAATGTCGTCAGATTTTTAAAAAAATATTATTTATTTAAAATTGATATCAAACCATCACATCAGAGACATTATATAAAAGATTCTGCACAATCTGTCCTTCTTGTAAAATTTCATTTGCCCAGACCGTCAAATTTCACTATTTAGGTAGGCCACTTCCACAAAATCTACAGGAACATTATCCAGAGAGTGATGAGTGCAAAACAGGAAGGGTACTTATTACTGTTAAAAACGAACCCGGGAAATCATTTCTATAATCGGTTTAAAGATGAGCTCCGATCTGCTACAGACTGACAGAGAAACGCAAAGAGCGCAGAGATCACTCTTCTGCAGTGATTAGCTTCGTCACTGGTAACACAAAGACCCAAATAACCTGGTCAGTTGTTCTGTCTCATCTGCACCTTCCAGAAATCAATCTATGAACCTTTAAAGGTTTTAAGGATGCAACTTAACGTTTCGTTTTCCTACAACCCAGTGATTTACTATGGCGCCAGTTTACTTAACAAAAAAACGAAACTGCTTCCAAGCGTCTGTGTTCCTTTGGGTGATAAGAAACGAATGAATACCTACTGACTTAACGAAGGCAGGCCTTCAGGGAAAACAGACTTCCCCCACCTTTGATCTCCACCATGAAGTGGCCAGAGGGACGATAGACCTGTTTTTAACCGCAGATACCCGGATCGGACACTAAATCATTAAAATTACTCGGTGACCATCCTTTCGTTTATGTGTCACAGTGAAACATGGTAGCCGCTATATTAGGCTTATCAAACAGATAATAATATCCAGTCAATAAATATTTAGTTACGTCAATGTTTGCCTTCCCTTTAAAAATATTTAACTCCTAATGACATAGACACCAACTGGTCCCCCTCCCCAATATGGTAAAAGCCAGCATGTTAAATGACATTACAATCCCGGAGAATTTAATGTGGAATATGCTCTGTTCTGTAGCCACGTTGACAGTCAACAAATGAATCATTCTGTGTCGTTTCAAAATATTTACCATACACGTATCCCTTGAACAAATTGCAATGCAAAGACTATTCCGACATGATTAAACGACAGTGTTTCATGAAAAAAAATGAACTAATTTGAAAGATGAATATCCAAAAGCGTATTTTTACAAACACATCTTTTACATTTTTATTACATTCATTGGCTGTCCTACAGTATCCAACGACCTGAACTTTAATGAAGAAGCGCTCAACTACAGTACCAGGCTGTTATCTGAAGTAATATTAACCGCGATCGCTCCGAACCAAGTTTGGTAGAACCGCTTTCGGAAGCCGTATGAAAATACAAACGGGTTCCGTTTAATTGAATCGCTGTATGGTAACTACTGACGACAGATGCAATTTCCCCTTTACTCCCACTACTGTCTCAGCAGAAACCGATTGCAGTCCCGGGCACCGGGCCAAACTAGGACGAAACTCACCATTTGCGATTTGCTGCTACCGGAATTGTCCACCATCCCTCCTTTCTCAGCTAACCTTTCCCCTCCTTGCTGGCACACTCTCTCTCCCAACCCAAAGCACCGGGGGGGCTATGCATGCACACAAAAAGCTTTGGGATTTTGTCCGCCGACAGAAAACGCGACTGTGGAGTTTCGAGGGCTGCTACCAAAAAGCGAACTTGTGATTGTTATATTTTAATCAAAAGGGGCACGGGGGAAGGAAGAAAGGAAAGAAGAAAAAAAAAACGCCCAACCTCATCCCTAGGAGTTTTGCGTTGGGTTTCCCACACCCCTGAATTACACCCCCGCCTATGCACATATCATCTATAAGATCCGCCCCTGACAGCGACTAGGATCCGAGCTTGTGCGCCCGGGCCGCCGGAATAATTACAGCGCATCCCGTGGGCAGACGCCGATCGCGGGGACAGAGCTCTCCTTACAGATACCAGCTCTGAAACATGCCGCTTTATACTCATCTCTTTCATAAGGCTCATGTCCCAAGTTGTATAATTAGTTTCCACCCTGTATTAGTCCTCATTGCACTCTTCCTCTTTTATTGTTTCGTGCTATATTCGAAGACCGTCTTGGAGTCCGTCAGCGATCCTTAAGAGTTTAGAGACGCAATTAACATCTTGTTTTTGTATTATTGTCTGTAATTATTAACACGATTAATATTAGCTCGGTCGAAACCACAACATACGAACCTCATCAAACTACTTTACTGATATCTGTATTGTGAAAGTAGCCTATTGTTTTCATAGTACTTGTTTCTACATTTGAGTTGTACGTACTAATTATTAACACATTCTGCAGTTTCGTGAACAATAAAACAGGATAAAACCGCAAACAGGTTTAAAATGTGTACCATTGCAATTGTTTACGGCACTTTGTTTACGTGGCTTTTGCTGTAGGCTAAGGAAATTCATAGCTTACGGGCAAAGTATTGTGCATTAACATCTACCCAACTTAATGTTACTGTGCCAAGATACCGCAAAGCTTTAATGTTTGCTTAGACACAACTGCAACTGCTTCAATGCACATACATTTAAAAACACTATATATAGAATCGTTATATTCTATGCCTTAAACTGAATATCCGGATGAATAAAAACATCCTGAATACAGTTTAAAGGAGTTTTATTGTCATCTGTTTGACCAGCCGGCACGATCAGATACGTCATGGATTGAAAATATTTAAGCATAGTCATAGCTGACAGGACGTTAACGAAACATATGAGAAAGCCATCACGTTTTTATTTATTTACTCCTAATAAAAGGCTATACACTGTAATGGTTTTTGACTTTGTACCGATGACCCGATTCTGCCCCCTGGCGAAGAAAATGTGTATTTGGATGATGCTCGGGAATTCTAGTGCCAGACGCTACAAAATTTACCAAATAGACCCATTTTCATGCAATTTACTATTAGCTAGATGACACATCTGTGACGTAAACAAACACTTTAAAAAAAATTACCCTTTCACCTGTCCCACTTTGAATCCATAAATGCATTCATCCAGGATATTTCAGTATGTTGCTAATTCATAGCCACCTACTCCAGGTACCTGCTGTTCCCCAACCCTAAATGCTTTCTTACCCATGCAGATGCAAACCTCAGTACCATCCAACTGCTGGGTACAGCTCAAGAATTTGCCCGGGGATCAATAAAGTTCATCTTCATTTTAATTAAGCAATATATCCCACATTAGTGTACATGTATTTCCTCTCAATCATGAAAATGGACATATGTACAGACAAGCAACAAGAGAGACAGGATTTTATTCATGACAGCCAATAAAAATCATTTAAATAGTCTTTTAAATAATAAGAAAAACTCATGTTATTGCAAAGAACACTCAGTAACACTTGCTGAAAGTATATACGTTTTGCTAGTAAATTCTATATAAAGATTGTCTTGCTAGTTGCATAGATACAGGTATAGTAAGTTCAGACTGGGAATGGCTGCGTTGCAGCAAAAAAAAAAAAAAAACACACCTCAAAAACGTTTACACACGGATAAGACACTCAGTCACTCAAAATAAAGACACGTCCACAGAAAACACACACAGACACCAAAGCGTAATTCAGCACCTCAGACTCTCATACCCAAAACGCCTACTGCAAAAAACGGCGACCCTCAAACCACTTTAAAGAAAAGCTCCACGCCCACAGTGCTGAACCCACTGCAGCGCTGCCTGTGTGGAGCAGTAACAGAAAAATACTCTGCTTCATAATGCTCAGTCGTTACGGGGAAAAAGATTCACTCGTGAGTCAGAGCAATTAAGACAAAAAAGCAATTCAGAAACGGAACTCGCAGCATTCCCCCAAAAGAGATCCTACACATATTAGGCCCATACCGTTATTGCGAGGTAAGCAAGAAGAAAGTTAGTGTTTCTTTCAAGGCGTCTCACTTAGACACCAAATCGGTTCCAGGTTTGTGTGCACAGACATGTAGGGGAAGCTGAACTCAAGGCAGCCCCTGCTGGCAATTCAAACACTGCAGAGAAAAAGGAAAATCACAAGGTAACAGACCATGATGCCTGATCTCTACAGATCCCATCTAAGCTCAAGCTGCCTTCACTTTCAATTCGCCTTTCTAAAAAAAAAAAAAAACTATAACCCATCAGCTGACCTCCGTGACCCCTGCCATTCTGGATTATGTTGTGACCTTTAAATATCCAGGAAACTGAATCCAAGTCCTTATTCCTGGATTCCATACTAACTTACAAGCAACCAATCTTAAGATCTAAACGGTGACAAAGGTTTGTATTTTGAAGGGATATCAAAAACAATAATACGAGTTCAAGACCAGTTCTTCCAATGTTTTTTTGTTTCCCACAGAGTGAAGTGCAGAAAGGAAGTAGGCTAACGACAGCTCAGTGCTCATCCAATCAGAGAGCCGCTATGGCAGAGATGCTTCTCATTAAAGGCAGGCAAGTCGGTGTCTTAGTTGGGGATGCACAGTATACGAAAACTCACACCCTCAACCCCCCCACTGCACTCCCCCATCGGAAACACACAGACTGACAGCCAGCAGGGCCTCCCTCATGGACAGCAGGGAATGGGAATATTCGAGAAAGAGGTTTGCAGCACCACCTAGTGGATGGGGCGGTAAGGCAGCTCCGGGGATAAGGCTGGGGGAGGCCGTGGCCGAGCCTCGCTCACTGCACGCTCACTGCACGCTGCAGGACGCGGCGTCTGCGCAGCAGCATCGGGAGGCGGTCAGGGACTTGGGCGGGATGAGGTCCAGGTCCTCGTCGTCTGGGATCTCATCTAACCGGTAGCCGTCCTTCAGGAGCTGCCTGCTCACTTCAGGGTGGACCTGAAGAGGCGGATGAGAGCGAGTAAGAAAAATAAAATGAAATAAAAAGAAAAAGCCTTACCAGCCTGACATCATCATGAACTGTCAATAATAACCCTGGAAGATCACTAAGCAGGACAGGTTATCAAACATGTGTAAGGCCTGCAGGGTCAGTAAAGCACTAGGAGGACCCCTAGTGTTGACTATGGACACTGCATGTTGCTTAAAATGGAGTATTACAGTTAGGATGACAGGGATAACCATTCAAGGAAACTTGAGCTGTCTGTCTGTCTGTGTCTGTCTGTCTGTGTGTGTGTGTCCCCATGTGTATGTATGTGTCATAAATAATGTTAGAAATCTCACCTCGGATGAGGAGTACCCAGAGGAATACTGCGATTCCAGCTCAACATCACTGCAGACATAAACGGGGAACATAAATGGCTTGCAAGCTACCAGTCAAGAATAATGCATCCTTGGGTGAAGCTGCCTCTGTTCTCACCTGTCCGAGTCCAGCGACACCAGGGCGTCCTCGGGGTTCTGGCTGAGGGCCGTGTAGCCTTTATTAAACTTCACGTTCCTTTGAAAGGCAGAGAAATTGGGCTCAGACAATAATTATCCGTCACTAAGCAGGAGTACAACCGTCGATGGAACAGCTCTGGCTTATTGAAGTCAACAATCTCACTACCTTGCAAGCTGATGGCAGAGAGAGATAAGTCATGTTCAACCTGTAGCATGATTGCAGCTTCTAATCCAAGCACTGGAACTGCCATTATACATGTGCTCAAGGGTCCCACCTGAATTACTGGAATTACATATACTCAGTTCTACAGTTTAAATCTCCCATCAAGGCTCCCTTGGATATGGTTATGCATAATCCAAGGAAATCATTGAATTTTATTTCATCCCAACAATTTCATCACCATTTCAGTACCAAAGCACAACTCAAAACAGAATAAAGTGCAACAGATGCTTCCTTTCTCAGTTTTCTATGTTTCAATATTCAAACCAGAATTTAACAGGCATCTAATGCAGCTCCCAGAGCACTGTGATGCACATGAACACCCAGCACTGCCAATAACACCTCAGCTGCAGCCGCGGCTCCCAGCAGGCAGGTCACTGGACACTTACTGCCTGGACTCCAGTTCCCACTGGCTGCCTACAGATCCGTCATGCACAGCAGTGTCGCCATGCAAGTCATCAAAAGACTATGGACTCATCAGCCATACAAGAGCTTCCACCTTTCTGCCACTGAAACTCTCCTGGGCAGCCTTGGCCCGTGCTTTGGGGGGGGTGGGGGCGTCACGAGCATCACCACCAAGGAACACCCTCTGATGTTAATCACCAGGGCTTCATCATCACTAACTGACATAGAAGCTGGTATGAAGACTAGACAATAGTGGACCAAATTTTTGTGCCCCCCCCCCCCCACAGCTTGGACTTAACAGCCCAGGAAACACCCCCGCTTCGCTTCCATTAAGCACATGAATAAAGCCCCCGTCTCTTACTCACTCTCCTTTCCCAAATGTTTTCAGGAAGTCAAAGATAAATTCTGAGCTGTACAACAGAGATATGCACTAATCCCAATGACAAGGGAAAGAAAATCCCCTTATTAAACAAACTCACACAAAAAAAAACACCATTTCAGGGCCTGCCTATAAAACAACCTGTAATTTGAATTTCATACAGACTTTGGGCTTTTAAACCAGCGGCTTGCAAATGCGCTCTATCCCGGCTATTGTGAGATTAATGAATTTTAAAGTATGCTGCACTATAATTTTTTTCTTAATTAACTCCTGTCACTTGCAAATGTGTAATTATTTTCCTCTCCTTTCACCACAGAAAGAAGCCATACAAGCATTACTCAAGTAAAGCTGATGGGGGCTCTGAGCTGGAATTGGCCGCTTTTAGTCAATGCACTCGGGGCACTGCGGTTAATGCATTCATCCTGAACCGGCCCATAAAATTAAATGGGCTCAGTACGTGGCCTGCATGCCACACACCACAGATACATATTCGGGAAAACCTATGGTCCCTAAGCGGCTTCCATCAGGTTTTTTTAAGACACTGTTCAAATATTTTTCTAATGGCCAACCACAGTATGCTTTCTTAACAAAAGCCATAAAAATAAATACCTAACCGGTTCATTTTCCTGTTTCATTCCGAGTCCAGCTTGCTGGAGCAAGCAGCTGAGTAGCAAGTATATTAACAATTTTTAATGCAAAACAAACATTGGCTCCTCGACTGCAGCAACACATACACACGCACGCTCACACACACACACACACACACTATTCTTTTGGTTGTTACAGCAACACACACACTGTTCCCTCAAGCACTAGGCAAACATTTTCAGTAACTTTTACTACTAGTTTACTCTTGCAGCAGATAACACTCTGCTACTACTCTGACACACTATCACCATGGTTACTAAGAGTCAGCAACGTGAACCCCCCCCCCCCCCCCATGTACCTCTTGGGTCCAAGCCTGGGCTGTTGCATTATTGGTCCCCCCAATGTAAGGGCTTTCTTCTTCAAAGCCTTTCGAGCCATCTCTCTGTGCTTTTCTGGGTTAAAAAACAAAACAAAACACAGTGATCATCAGTGAGAGAGAAATGCAGCCAGATGAGAAGGTCTGTTGATGGACAAATAAACATTTTAAATGTTTGTTCCTATTCCTTAGGCTGATGTTCTTTTTCCACAGGGAGGTTCATTTGAGCAAGTGAGCCATTTACAATACATGTATTAAATTACATTTCTATTTAGAACTAAATTTAAACAAATGGGACAAAACTGATGTGCACACCAATACTCCTTAAGATGTTAATTCAGGGATTTATTTCGGTCATTATACACCTGGTTGGCACGATTACAATGGCCACTCCGTGATCATTCATTCCTGTATGATGTGTCAGGCTGGTGTTACTTGGGAGAGGTGCACCGGCGTGAGTATGCAAACCGCACGGAAACTCGCACACATTCCGACACTCACGTAGTTTCTGGTGAATGGGTGGAGCTCGGGACATGATGTATGGACCACGCTTCTCCACAGGCCTCAAGCCCGCCTCTGCACCTTTAGCTTCACCACCATCGCTGCCATTGGGACCCTTAAGAACAGAATTTGTGGGGAGAAACGGGGGGGGGTGCTGTTGAAGATAATCCATCATGGGAGGTGACTCTGCCAACCTCAGGCAATTACCCATGGAGTGGGGGGGGCGGTGAGGAACGGAAAATGGGGCCAAGCTTTAGCACCTAAATCCATGTTGTGTTGGTGCCTATCATGGACGCTGACATGGACGCCGTGCCAATTTCTTCAGTCGATATCTGTATTAGGGCACCCACACTTCCTGCCAGTGCCAGTGCTGCATTGTTTCACTCTCAGCAGCACAAGGCTGTGATAAAGAAACTGGACTGGCCTCTTCATGCATTTCAATATTTAGCAGTTCACAATCGGACCCATGCTTAACCCTTTTGTAGGGACATGAGGGAACACGTTCCCCCAGCAACGTTTACGTAATTTCTTTGTATTTGAAACTCTGGGACTTCTCATACTTGGAGAAGGGTTACCTAATCACCAAAAAGTTTGAAATTTTCATGCTCTTTCTGTTAACACCAAAAATGACACCTAAACACCCTTTGCACTGGTACAAAATGTTTGCTCAAGGGAATAATGATTGGTTCAGAGAGACAACCAACCAATCAGATTGTAGAGGAGGTGGGTCCAAGCAACTAGAGTAATTGGGACCAACCAATCAGATGTTTTGGTCCTACCTCCTAGTTGCTTGGACCCACCTCCTCTACAATTTTATTTGTTCAGAGACAACCAATCACTGTTCCTTCTGCCGTCAGAATATTTTTGTATAAGTAAAACTCTCACAAGCAAGGGGTTTAGAATCTTATCCGGACACAAGTTAATGTACATAGTACTCTATTTATAAATACTATTATGTCTATTTGATATCTGTGTGGTCAGATGTGTAAAAACAGACACCTCACTCTGGAGGAAACAGTTATTTAAAATGTTTTTGGAGGAAACATTAATTCTGAACATTTTCAGAGCAAAGTTATAATACAGTCCGAATATTCACAGTTGAGTCTGACTGAAGAAAACTAAGCGTTTCGTTAAACAAGTGCAATCAAAAACAATAACAAGCAAGACAGCACGCAAATCATGACTCTTAAGTACAACGGCAATCCAACTGTTAAGTATAATTACTGATACCTTTTGTATGAAAACAAATGAACAAGAATTCACTGTTATACTACTTTCCATAAAAAGGGGGAGACGACAATCAAGGCAGTAACTACTATATGGTTTTACCAACAAAAAAAAACACCTGACTGCGCTTTGCAACTGATACCCCAAAAGACCCATAACAAGCAGTGAGCAGCGCTAGACATTCTATTTATGGACCATAAAGAGAATCCAATTACCAATTTTACTTCGGTATTTATAGCTGTTTTTAGGAGGCACATTTTTACAACTGACAGACAGTAGATGTAGATATGCCACAGATTGCTGATATTACGAGGCTTGAGCTATTACAATCACATGATCAGCAGCTATGGGGCTGGCTCATAGTTACTGGCACAACACGAACACTACGGCTTCAAATACTGATTTTAATGTAATAGCAGAGCATTCTGGCAGTGTAAAGTTGAGATTTTCTGAATAAACGGGCTAATATAAATCAAAGTTGCCCGAACAGTTAGCTAGCTGCTAGCATGACGTACCGATAAAACTTGGGATTCGGGCAAAGCAGCCAGCGTGTCCCTTTCCTGTTCCTCCATCTTCGCGTTAACTGGTTACTTCAGAAAAAAATATCTGGGTGCGATCATATTTTCCCCGTCCAAGCGGACTATTAACTACATTCCACAATACCTGCTAACTAGCCAGCGCAGACCGAGGGGTAACTATTTACTTCACTTTAGTTTAGCAGAGGAGCCAATCAGACTGGAAAACAGCCGTCGCCTCTTACGTCAGTCCGTTTCCGTTTCCGGTCCCACGTCGTGCCATTGACCTGTCACGAGGCAGTGCAGGGTTACAGGTCAAACTCGAAAAAAACAGATATTTCATTGCGTAAGGCTAGTAAAGGTGTTCCCAAAACATGGGGATCCAGGTGACATTGGCTAGCTGACCCCAGAGGGCGTGACGGGATACAGGTATTTCATACATACAGTGTACGTTACATGTTGATCATTGGTTACATGAGTTTTTTTTTGTTGTTGAAAATGAGAGTATAGCCGCATTTCAGTTTGAAACATGAATGAGATCATACTAAAGTGTTACATACTCAGTACAGTAAATGTAGCTATACTATAATGTATCATTATTGCTAACATTGTCCATAATTTATTACCTGTAGCTGTTGCACAACAAAATGTCAACTATTTTGTCTCAAAAAGGTAGCACTATATCAATTAAGTTTGTAACATAGGTACTAAATCTAGAAGCCACATGATTTATATGACATTGGAATCCTGCACCTTAACAACTGCAGGCAATATGAAAAAAGTGTTTATGCTTTAAAGCCACAAAAACTATTTTCCATTTGCTCCCTTCCATGTTTACTGGTATAGAAATTTACACAAAATCATCTGACAAAAAAAAATCCTAAAAGTTTATATGGTTTTCTAGCCTGTGAATAGCAGTGTGCAGTTTTATTCAATCTCCAGTAAGAACGACAGTCAAGGATAATATTCATATGAGACTTCTAGTAACCTACCAAACATGGATGCATTTTGAGAGCAGTTACATGTAATGTGCAATCGTCATTAATAAAAAGATACACAAATGTAGTTCAATAAGGATATAGCCCAAATCATTCAAGAATTTTTATAATTTATTATGTCCATAATTTTTACAGAAAATATGAGAGAAAGCCAAATTAAATAAAACACAAACAAGTGTAACATGCAAAAGCCAGACAGCAGCTTTTCTCCCAGCTACAAAAGTCAACCTGGATGAGTTAAGAAAGAAGAGACAACTTAGTTACACATCACCAAGGAAACCAAGGGCTTTGGTTCCAAATTAAAATGCATGTGAAAATAGAATAATCCGAGTTCTTTTAAATAATAATGACCATTCTACTGAGTTTCTACTGAAAGCAAGGAAGTGCACAGCGACCAGCTCAGTTGGGCCACTCATGACAGCTGGACTGCGTATGCTGTACCCACCCCATGCTAAGGGTCTACAGCTTGTCCAGACCAAGCTCCTCAGGTGTTGAGATTCCAAGCTCGTCAAGAGTAGGCTGCAGCTCTTGAATCACGTAGGGGTAGATATCTTTATGAGTGCCTGATTTGTCCTAAGCAGAAAAAGGTAAGAGCTCCTAGTTTACTCTCTGCAAAAATAACATCTAATATTTAGACAGATATGACATTGCAGGCACAACTTCTGAGTTGAACATTTGAAGAGAACTAAGCTATTTTCTAAATTTCTCAGCTATGTGATATTCACCAAAGCAAAATAATCTGGGTGCACAGAGAGTCAGATTCTCCAGTTACCAAGGGTTTACATTACCAGATTTGAGAAGGTGTGATATACTTCCACAAGACTCCTTACTTACTAAATATAATAAATACCAAAATGTTAGGGAAGAGTTCCAAGTAAAGAAGCCATATCAACATACTAAAGAGAAACTAAGGATCTGATGTTATAGATATAATACAGCTGTTAAATCCTGAGATCCTGATGTATTGGAAAGACCTAATAAGTGATGTCACCACAAAACAGTGATTCAGCCAAAGATATAGGAGCATGTCATACTATGAGGCCGGATAGGTAAAAAGGAGGACATTGCTCCACTCGATGACCAAAAGCAAACTCCTATTACCTTAACAGCCTCAAGGATACGAATGGCACTCGCCATGTCGTCCAGCCTCCGACAGGCTCTGAGGGCAGAGTCCAGAATCTTTGGTTCAGGTACCAGGTCATAGCCAACCAAAGTGTTCAGTCCTGGAATGAGCAAAAGCCCTGGGTAATGGTAAACCTAATAACATTAACAATTTTAATTATATGAATAGATGGAAATATTGTTATAATTGTTAGTTAATAAGCAAGAATTCCTTGAGGACAAAATTAAAGTGACAGTATTTTGAAAAACACTTGTTTTATTTGTAACCTTTAGGTGACAAATGCAGTTAGTTTTTGCTCCTCCTCTATTAACAACTGAAAGACTTTGGTCACCATGCAACATGGGTCATAAAACAGACATGGGCACCTTCCTCACCTTTCCTCAGCTCCCAGTGGTCAATGTCCGGTTTGTTGAAGTAGGTGACCCAGCGAGCATCAAATTCCTCCTCTGTCTCCTGTCTGCCATGTGAGTAGCACCTAGAGGCCAAAGGAGCTGCAGATGGGTTTTTTATTACTGTTTTGTTAGTTTGAATTATACTAGCATCTACAGTACTGTTCTCTGAGTTGAAAAGCAAGAAACACTGAGGGCTCTTAATGCACAAAAGTGTATTTGTGCCCACAGAGGAAAATGACAGTGTTTTTTTTTTATTATTTACAGGTGTTCAGTAATGGAATTTTGCAAGATGAGGGCAACTAAGACATTGTACAAATACAATGCACAACTTAAATAAATATTGCAAAACTTACAACAAAGGCAAAGCATTCATAATACAGCTGTTAGATCGTCGCAAAACAGTTATACAGTTAAGTAATCTGCCTTTCAGATAAAAAAATAAATGAAATAGATCAGTTCTCCTTTTAAATCCTTCGGTACGATACACACACCAGACAGAGGACATTGATTATACCCAAATACACAAACATTTATCAGACAATACATTTAAACAACGCTTTTTATATTTTTCTCGGTTAAAGTTACGTTTTAAAATAACACTAACTCGATAACACACGTTTTTCTTGATTTAATTAACCTAGAGGTCAATGTCAAACGCCAGTATGAAGCGGCCGGCTGAATGGCGCCCTCCCAGTCGTGCCCAAGGACACGTACCTGCCAAAGAGTAACACCACACACCCCTAACCGCGGCAAACCAGCGCGTATCTGCATGTGTGCTGCTTAGCTAGCAAAACTTTAACCGTAACCAATAGCTGGCGAAGCCGTGCCAGCACACAAGCTGACATTTCAGGTGCCACAAAAATATCTGCGTGCAGGAAACGCAACGTTCCGACATTTAAAAGGCTAATTAAATGGATAGGTAAAGCGGACCTTAGACACATTAACAATTGTTGACACATGCGTTTATTTCGCTACCTCTACCACTTACTGTAAATGTAATACCAGCTCACGGCACCTGAGAAGCTCTTAATTCGTTTTCTGTAACTAAATGGTCGGCTGGCATCACCCAACTTGGTGACATTTCATTTCTTGTCATTCCCCGGACGCTACTGTATAACAACCACCAGCCACGGTTGACCTCCGCCGAGTTAGCAGCTGCGATCGTCCGCTTCCTGCACTAGGAAACCCAGCCAAACCGTCACACAGCTAACCACCCACCGACAGAAGCAGGTCGCGATACCAGCACACCCCGGAGTCCGGAGACAGAGAGTCGAAGTGCCGTCCGAAACATGGTGCCTTCCGCCAAGAGGACCCAAACGCTGAAGTTCTGACAGAGAACCACTGCGCCTGCGCGGCACGAGACTCTGCAAGCAGTTCCGGTGCGAGGCGTGTGTTGCACGCATAGGGCTGCGTGCTGGAGTGAAACATGTAGGCGAGTTTTCGTTTCTCCCACATTAAACCTATGCAAATCAGCTTATTGATTATTTTCATAGTACTTTCGGCTAAATGCTACAGCTATCAACAGTAAAAAAAAGAGGGCAACTGAAGAAGAATAAGTACAAGCCGTCATCGACTTTGTTCTACAAAAGTTCACAAAAAATTACACAATAATTTTGATAAATTTGATTCATGTATGATTTATGGGCACTACTAAAACTATAGTTGCGTCACATGCTTTGGGGAAACTTCGCTCACCTGAAGAAAATGGGGTGGACATCAGGGACAGGGACCTGAATCCATTTTGGGCGGGGCTGATACCACCCGGTCCCCCATTGGCCCCGCCTTTGGCTTTTACCACAGTGTAAACAGATGGCCATGAAGTGAAGTAATATCAATACCAACGCAGACTATATTTTCAAGATATCCTACTGATATTTATCTCACTGGTATGGTTTTCTGATTTCCTGGCACATCACACAGAAGCGTGCTCAGACTGTGTGTGTGTGTGTGTTTTACATTTCTGGTTTCTTCACTTTTTTAAACTTGTACTGGCATCCAGTCCAGGGTATTCCCTGCACCATACCTTGTGCTTCCTGGGCTAGGCTCCAGGGTCAGTCACCCTATATATTGGCTAATCAGTAATGGCGAATTGATGAATGGATAAAGTTTACTTTATGTCCAAATACTTGGTGACAATAAAATGCAGTCAATTTATACAGTGTACGTGCTGCTAGTTGCTGCTGTTGGTAGCATCTTATATCCTATGTGCGTATCTCATACAGTTTAAAAAGCCTGAGTGTTTCAAATGAAAGAGGATGAATAGAAAATAAAAGAAATCTATATTTGGGTCTATAAAAGCAATTTAAGCAATCATCACATATCTGGCCATTTTTAAGTCTGTTACTTTTCGTTGTTTTGCTTCAGTGCACATTGTATTATTTTGAAATTAGGAATGAATAACTTCAGTTTTCATAATTTACCTAGAGATCCATACAGCGGCGATGCTCCCTTTAGCCAGCAGGTGTCAGCATTGTCAGAGAAGTCAAGCGCAGTTTTGTAATGAGGAATTTTCTTTTTCTGGGTGGCAGAGTGTCCGCGTGGGTGTCCTCCGGGAATTTTAGTTTAGGAGGACTGACCTCTCTATATTGCCCTTAGTGCCTATCCACGGTGTCTCACACTCTCTGCTTCCTGAGCTAGGCTGCAGACTGACAACAAACCTATATTTTGGAGATGGATTGCACTTTATGAAGCAGTATTCACAAACTAGTACACAGTAACTTTAACAATAATAATAGTGTGGAGGCATAATCAAATAAGTTTCATTTTATAAATGTATAGTGGCCACTTTATTAGGTACACCTGCTCACTAATGCAAATGGCGTGCTGCTCCAAACAGCAGATCGTGCTGCTCCCTCTGAATACATACAGCATGCACTCAGTTTAAAGAGGTGCACTTACTGTTTAACCAAGCGTTGGAGTAGCTGATGGCATTCCTGATGTAAGCGACTTTGATCATGGTGTGATTGTTGGTGCCATATGTGGCGGTTCAGTCATCTCAGAGACAGCCATCCTCCTGGGATTTTCGCCTATTGCATGGTCTGTAGTTTACAGGGGGTGGTGTGATGGACAGAAAAGGCATCCAATCAGTGGCAGTTCTGCAGGTGAAAACACTTGGCTAACGGGAGAGGTAAAGCTAACATGGAAGCCACATGGTTGCTATGAAAGCACTTTTCTACCTTTGATGTTGGCAGAAGTGGGTCCTACGTGATACAAACTAGGCATTATTAATAAAGGAGGCACTGTAAGTGTACATTACATGCTATACCTATGCAGGGGTGGATCTAAGGGGTGGCTGCAGCCCCCCCCCCAGTAAATACATGGCCACCTCTCACCAAAAAATAAAAATGATATATGAAGCATTTCATTTCACTTTGTAAACCAGAGCTGCCTAACCTGCCGACCGTGTCGC